GGTGGATTTCAGCAAATTCAGGTATTCAAACTTGTAAAGAAATATCTCTTCCCCATTTGGAAATCCAGCTGTAATTTCTTTCTCTCCCTTCTTTTTGTTCAAAACATTTTTGGAATGATAGTGCCATTGTCTTGGCATTCTACCTATTTTTCTCTTTTTTATTTATATTTCAAGTCCGCCACAAGCATTTACTATTTTTTATTTATATTTTTGATTAACATTTTCTGCACGGACCATAATTTCTATAAAAGCGGCAACCTGAGCAACCTGGGACGTTTATGTGACACTTATATTATTTTTGGCATCGTGGTGAAATCAGGCGCTCGTCAAAATGATCAATTCGAAGACACCGACATTTTTTCAACCCTAGGGCAATTTTTATTTAATTTTTTTTAAATTCAACACCTTTCATTTTCATTATAAAACGCATTTCTATGTGGGTTTTACGGAAAAACATTGATCAAAGGCACACACATGTAAATTTGCAGTTTCCAATTACACTGAACGACACCGAACCTTGGCGTTCATTTTTTATCTATTTTTACCTCTGACACTGGTAGCTTCTCACCTCCCTCCTTTGCAAATGTCTCGACTCCTATTCAAGATAGATGGGTATTTTATTCATTAACAAAAACAAGACAAATAACATGCTTTTAGATAAAACCAATAGATAATAACTTCCTGTGCCCAAAAATTGACGATCGTCTGATTCCACCACGTCGTTAAACTTACATCTCTTCCACTAGTAGCATACAAACAGCTTGATCATTGTACTGTTACAGTTTATGGGGGTGGGGGATGGGTGGGGTGGAATGGGGCAAGGGGGGAGGAGATAAAATGTTCTTTAAATGTTCTCTAAATTACTATGTTCCGCGCAGTTTACCGATCGGCGCAGTCTTGCGCTGCGCGATGCTTAGCGATCGTGTAATTGTATCTTCCTTCTGAGCTGTTCCGTTTCATATCTTAATTTTAATCAGTTAGATCCGAACAGAAACGAAATTCTGAGATTGTCATAAGAGGTGTTGAGCCCCCCCCCCAAACAACAACAACAACAACAACAACAACAACAACAACAACAACATTACAACAACAACAACAACAACAACAACAACAACAACAGCAACAACAACAATAACAACAACATTATTTTGACGAATGCCTGAGTTTACCACGACGACACACATACTCACTGACTTGCTGACTTGGTTAGAGAATAGTAGGCATCATTGCAGGCAGCACCGTGCCATAGCTGCTCCTCCATCCTACACGACGATGACGACACACGTAATATGTGAGGCATCCTGGTGAAATTTGGTGCTCATCAAAAGAATGAAATCAAAGAAATCGGCTTTTTGAGGGGCCTATGGGCGTTTTTTTTCTTCTAATTTTCTTTCTTTTTTTTTGGCTCAACACCGTTTATGTCCATTTAGAATTTTTTGCTTGTGCGGAATTTACTGAAAACATTGATTAAAGGCACAACGTATGTAAATTTTCAGTTTCCAAGGACCTTCAGGCTATGGAACTTATCTAACTTTGGCGGCCATTTTTTTCCAACTATTTTACATCTGAAACCAGGCTACCGTGACCTCCTTCGATCCAGATATTTCGACTTCTGTTCAAGATCGATTGATATTTTTTTCACCAAAAGGAAGGCAAATAAACAATAACCATATATCCCCAAAATTGACGAGCGCCTGATTCCAGTGCGTCGTGACACGTGTATTCTTACTATCTCTCTTTCATTCCCAGCACGACACAAACACCATCGACCCTGAAGAGCTGGAATATCTCCTGTCTGTGTGTCACAAAGCCTGCCAGTCCCACGACCCGGAGAAAAGACCCCATACCTTCGACTTCCCCACTTACTGCAAGCAATACAAGCTGACAGGCGCAGATCTCGACGGACGCAGAGCTGTGTACAACACGGTGACCATGATGCTGGAGACTGCGATTGTCAAGGCTGTTAGGTGAGTTGTCTTACTTGTGTTTTTTAAAAATAATTTTGGTAGGCGTCTTTACAGCACTTGAAACACAATTAGGTTATGTAGATGTTGGCGATTAGAGGTGTTACAACATAGTAACTCTTCGTGGACCAGGAAAAGGCGTTCGACCGGGTAAATAGATGTCAACTTTGAGAAGTCTCAGAGGAATATGGTGCAACAGGACAATTGCTGGGGTATATCACGGCACTTTATAAAAACCGCTTGTGTGCCGTAAGATCAACTGAAAGACTATCGGACCGGTTCCCCATCAGGTCTGGAGTGAGACAAGGGTGTGTTCTCTCTCCGCTTTTCTTCTTCACTTACATGGATAAGATCGCGAAAGCAGCAAATGACAACATCACTGAACTGAGCGAGCTTCTATTTGCTGCTGATCAAAGTATAATTTAAATACAGATGAAGAGGAATTACAAAAACACACCACAAAACTAAATGAGGATTGTAAACACCTATGCATGAAAATCTCCAATTCAAAAACAGAAGTTATGAAGGTCAGCAGAAACCCAGAGAAGCTCAACATCCTTACTGACGGAAGACAACTCCAACAAGTAGGGGAAATTAAATATTTGGGAAGCATCTTCACACAAGATGGGCGTATGGACAAAGAAATAGAAACAAAAACTATGACGGCAAATACAGTGACCTACCAGCTAGCACCGCTGCTCAGTCACTCGAACATCCTAACCGAAGTGAAATCCCGGCTCATCAATAGTATCTGTATACCAACCTTAACATACCAGTGCCAAACATGGTTTCTAAACAAGGCACAAGAAAGAAAAATCAATGCACGCCGAATGAGATGTCTCCGCAATACCATTAATGTCACCAGAAGAGACCGCAAAAGAAACGAACATAGCGGGTCCACGAGTCAAATGATTTGGACATCTAACCAGACTGCCATAGAAACAACAAGCGGCTAGAGCTTACAACACCTGAGAATCCGGCATCAAATCAAGAGGAAGACCAAGAAAGACCTGGCTGGATGGGGTTAAGAAGGTCCTAGAAGAATATAACATTTCTATCGAAGACGCCACACACCCAGCACCGGACCGACATTCTAAGGATACCACAGGAAGGAAAAAGTGAAAGTAAAGTACAAGAGAGTAACAGTCAAACTAACAGGCAGTTGGCATACAGGCAAACAATAAGACTGACTATGTGGTGTCTGTAGTCTAGTGGTTGGGTGATCGGACTCCTAATAGTAAAGTTGTGGCTTCGAGGGTTCGAAGCTCAGGTCTGATGTTGCGTCATTGGTAAAGGCTGGCCATAGACAGCGAAAGGTCCCGTCAGTATGTTATATTTTTTAACGCCTATAAAATGGCTTCTTGCACTGTATGCTTACCAGGTAGTTGAGATTGTTTTTAAAATGCTTTCAGGTTTGCTGGGGCAATGATATTACAGATTGTAAAACGCATACAGCCAATTGCTGTTGAGCGGGGATTTGGGCTGTACAAATATCTATTATTACATGTATTATTAT